GATATCGACGGGAAGCACGAGTGGAGGGACTGCATCGACGTGCCGGGCGTACGCTTGCCCCGTGGGTACTACTTTGGGACTTCTTCTGTCACCGGAGACCTGTCAGGTACCGCCCCGGGGTCCCCAGCTTCGTTTCCCCAGCGGCTCTGGCAGCTCCTGTGCAGCCTTGAGTGGCTGGAGGTGCAGCCTGGTACCTGGTGGGGCTTCCAGAGGCACGCCAGGACCTTCCCATGCTTGAAACACCCTTCAGCAGCCAGCGGGAACCTGGGATTTTATCTTGCCGTGACTCCTGAGGAGCCCAAAGCCTGATCTGGGCACGTTGCTCCCCGAAACGCTTTGTCTAGGCAGCGCTTCCCACTTTTCCCTGAGCCTCCCTGCGGGGCCACAGCCTCAGCCAGCCTCTCTCAACGACACGGTGGCCGTACCGGCTCAGCTGGAGGGTTTGCTCCTCCCAAGGCGCGTGTTTTGGAGACAAAACCCAGGATAAACGCTGAAAAAAAAATCTCTATTCCCTTGCTGCAACCCGTGGTGCCTGGTTTCGCCCCGAGGGCAGCGCTGGAAGGAGCTGCCTTTGCTGCAGACGCCCCAGGCGTTACGGCCAGGCCGTGGCGCTGCCTCCTGCTCGCTGCCTCTGCCGCCGGGATACGTTGGGATCTATTTTGCTCTGGATTTCACAGCCCGAGAGCTCGGGCCTGCCCGGTGCTGAGGGAGGGCCCAGCCCAGGCGCGCCTGGAAGCGGCGCTGCCACGTGGCTCGATGTAAAGTGGGGTTTGCCGAGAGCTAAAGCTAAAAGCCCTCCGCCTGCCTCAGCACCGCGCTTCGCTCCCAGCGCTGGTCGAGGTGCTGCGAGGCCTGACGTTACCCCGCCGGGCCTCTTGCCGTGGGTTTTAAGCCCGAGTTGAGTTCGGCCTCTACAAAAGCACATTGACAGCCGCTGGCTGGGCCCATTGTTCCGTTTCTCCAACAAAAGTCCCTTTTTCTCTCTCTGCCCAGTGCCCCGGGGAGCTGGCAGGCTCGCCTTGTCCCGCTAACAGCTCCGCCGCCACGAGCGGAGGAAGCGGCGCCGCGTGAGGCTGATGCCAACGCGTTCCCCTTTCGGGTGGCCGAGTGGTTTCGAGTCAGCTGGTCTCCCGGTCTGGGCTGGTGTTTTTTTCCAACAGAAGGAGCTCCAAGGTTCCCGTTGGCGGGGGCTGCCCT